TAGTTATTCAGAATCAAGAGTTTTTGAGTAATTAACGCGTGTTTCAATCCGTCCTGTCCAACAATGTTCGCCTCGATATGATCCCTGATTTTGTTCAGATCTCGGATAGTTTCATCGTTAATATGCGAGAAATTAACCCGTTCCGTAGGCGCTGCGATTTATAAAAAATTACCGATCAACGCATGTCCAAATTATAATATGTATCCCCTACAATTGGTAGTATGCTTACCTATCATCGTTCTTCTTGATAATTTTGCTATTTATTAACAGTTATTAAGGATGACACATAACAAACCAACAATACAGAAAGACAGCTCATTTTAAACTCTACTTGATCGGAGAGCGTGCGTGTTTATATATGATCTAATATCTATGTTTTACTCGTTAATGTCCTATTTGTCCTATTATTATTTCTTGTTCGCTAATATATCCAAAATATCAAAATACGACTCGCTAAGTAACTCAGTATCTTTGTTTAAATTTAGTCCATTTTTTTGTTCCTTGATATGTAGCATCTCAGAAATGAGTCTTTTATAATAATTATTTTCGTTGTCCATGATCTTAACATTGTCCCAATTAAAAGTATGATGTTCATTTATTATGTGTTCAGAAATTACTGAATGTTTCGTTGAGTCCAACCTAATATTATTTTTATGTTCTTTTATTCGCGTCTGCAATTGCCTCTTTGTTTGGCCTACATAAGATGCATTACAATTATTGCAACTGATCTTATAAACCACATTCGAATTGCATGGATGTTTAGTTTTATCTTTCTGCGCTTTAATAATATTGTCCAGTTTGTTGAGACATCTATACCCTACCATACAATTTTTATTTTTTACCGAGGAAACAATCATTTCTGAGATCCCATCTATATACGGAATGACAAAGAATTTTTTATTGACCGAGTCATTTCTTATACTTTTTGTTCTTTCTATGTTGGCCTGTCTCTCTATAATGCTCCCCTTAGATATGATGTGTTCTATCCGATGATTAATTTTGTTAAAAATCAGATCAAGAGGGTAACCATTGCTTCTGAGTATATTAATAATTAACTCCAAATTTTTATTAAAAAATAGTGGATGTGATAGCAATAGACATCTGTCTACAAGGTTATATATTATTCCTATTTTGTGGCATAGTGGGTGGTTTGAATAAAATGATAACGTCCTTCCTGAGAAGGTTTCTTTTGATACCAGTCTATATATATTTTGTTATTAATAATTTTAAGTGATAAATCTAAGAATGTTCTTGGATGTGGTGTCTTTGTTTACGAACGTTCCTCTGGATCTTGCGATTGACGGTATTAACGATAGATGGGATCACATTGGAATAAATACTAAAATACCGAAAAACGAATTTTTGGGGGGTATAAAATTCATATTGACTTCTACATATTTTACATTTGATGACATAATTTATAAACAGACGTTTGGGACCCCTATGGGGTCACCGTTATCACCAATTATTGCAGACCTGGTTATGCAAGATCTTGAGGATACAGTTCTCAAAGCGTTGAATTTGGAATGTTTGTTTTATTTTCGTTATGTGGATGACATAATAGTGGCCACCTCTATGACTAATATGACTCAGATTGTGAATAATTTTAACAACTATCATGAAAGACTTAAATTCACGGTCGAACAAGAGGTTAACCATAGCTTGAATTTCTTAGATTTATCACTTAAAATTATTAATAACAAAATATATATAGACTGGTATCAAAAAGAAACCTTCTCAGGAAGGACGTTATCATTTTATTCAAACCACCCACTATGCCACAAAATAGGAATAATATATAACCTTGTAGACAGATGTCTATTGCTATCACATCCACTATTTTTTAATAAAAATTTGGAGTTAATTATTAATATACTCAGAAGCAATGGTTACCCTCTTGATCTGATTTTTAACAAAATTAATCATCGGATAGAACACATCATATCTAAGGGGAGCATTATAGAGAGACAGGCCAACATAGAAAGAACAAAAAGTATAAGAAATGACTCGGTCAATAAAAAATTCTTTGTCATTCCGTATATAGATGGGATCTCAGAAATGATTGTTTCCTCGGTAAAAAATAAAAATTGTATGGTAGGGTATAGATGTCTCAACAAACTGGACAATATTATTAAAGCGCAGAAAGATAAAACTAAACATCCATGCAATTCGAATGTGGTTTATAAGATCAGTTGCAATAATTGTAATGCATCTTATGTAGGCCAAACAAAGAGGCAATTGCAGACGCGAATAAAAGAACATAAAAATAATATTAGGTTGGACTCAACGAAACATTCAGTAATTTCTGAACACATAATAAATGAACATCATACTTTTAATTGGGACAATGTTAAGATCATGGACAACGAAAATAATTATTATAAAAGACTCATTTCTGAGATGCTACATATCAAGGAACAAAAAAATGGACTAAATTTAAACAAAGATACTGAGTTACTTAGCGAGTCGTATTTTGATATTTTGGATATATTAGCGAACAAGAAATAATAATAGGACAAATAGGACATTAACGAGTAAAACATAGATATTAGATCATATATAAACACGCACGCTCTCCGATCAAGTAGAGTTTAAAATGAGCTGTCTTTCTGTATTGTTGGTTTGTTATGTGTCATCCTTAATAACTGTTAATAAATAGCAAAATTATCAAGAAGAACGATGATAGGTAAGCATACTACCAATTGTAGGGGATACATATTATAATTTGGACATGCGTTGATCGGTAATTTTTTATAAATCGCAGCGCCTACGGAACGGGTTAATTTCTCGCATATTAACGATGAAACTATCCGAGATCTGAACAAAATCAGGGATCATATCGAGGCGAACATTGTTGGACAGGACGGATTGAAACACGCGTTAATTACTCAAAAACTCTTGATTCTGAATAACTATAATTAAATTTCGATATTATGTGAATTGTAAGAATTTATATTTCAATAATTATACTGAAGAAGACCGCGTGCGGTCGAAACGTTTATAGAATGATTGTAATTTGCGTTAGTTTTAATATAATGACTGTAGTTTTATAATTTATACATGTAATAAATGGTAGTTGACTGAACATCTCGAATATTCAGCTCGATAAGTTGGCCTTATATTTATCACTTTGTTTTCAATATACGAGCGACAATTGTATTAAGTCATTTTTCTCATTATTAATAAATCGAGTCACCAGAGAGAAAAAAAGCAAGGATAAAAAAATATGTGTCTGTTATATATTTAGCTACACATATTTGTGGCTGGACAGAGAATCGAAGACAAATAAGCAATTATTTACTGACGCATTTTGTTTATTTAAGCTGTGTGTTTTTTTATCATTTTTACGCAATTGCGTGAAAGTGCTTAGGATGCTTGAAATTTTACTCGTCCTCGTTCCGATCTCCCAAGCGCAGATTATAAATCGTCGGCTTAACCTCAGTGTAAGATCCATTGTTTTCGTATTTTTTTCATAAGAAATCAGTTCGGTGCTACGCTAGTGTGCAATGCGAAAGGAGAATGAGAAACCACCGACGGTGGAAACTGTTACAATCGTGCTCCATATAACGATGTGGAAGCTAGCATTACGAGGAGTCGGCCACGTTGATGAAGAAACTATACGTGTCAGAATATCAAAATAAAATTCATTTCTTTTATTTTTTTTATCAATCAAATATTTTATTTATTTACTGCCTCGTTTTTATAAGACAGAAATTGAATTTTCGAATCGCACCGTCAAAGTAATTTATTATCGTCGAGCAATTTTTCTCTGTTCAAGGAAGTATAAAGCAAAGATTTTTTTATTTTTTAAAGGCGCAAAAATGAGAAAATAGCGATAAAAGATAAAACGCGGATCGCTAAAGCGATAATAGATAATGTACGAACGTGCAGCGTAATCCTGAATTTCTTTTTTATTATCTTTATATGCTTTATACTTTATATCTGTCGCTAGTAAGGGAGCATGTAAAGAGACGAGATAAATTTATAAATTATCCCGCTACAAAATATGTGAAAAATTTTCGTGCTGTAAATTTTCATATATGTGATTATATTAAATTTATAAATATATTTAAATATATACTAGTTGCATACAATTAAAGTTACACAGAGAGAATTTTCTCTTAGAATTTACCCTGAAAGTTATGGTAATCTTGGGACAATGTGGTATTGGAAGAATTTTTATAAAAGTTTCTCAGATTATAATATTTTTACCACAATAAAAAGTATTAGTAGTTCTACCACAGTAAGATATAAAATCAGTATTATTGTAAAATAAATAATATTTTATCACATAATATATTCTTTGACACTTCTAAATTTTTTGGCATGCACAGAGAATTTTCTCTTAGAATTTATTCTGAAAATCAATTGGAACAATATAATATTGGAAGAAGAATTTTTATAAGAGTTTTTTTAAATTAAAATATTTGCCGCAATAAAAAATATTAATATTTATAACAATAAGATATAAAATATATGTTCAATTAATTACTAGCTGCATATAATTAAAGTTACACAGAGAGAATTTTCTCTTAGAATTTACCCTGAAAATCATATGGTAATCGTGGGACAATATGGTATTGGAAAAATTTTATGAGTTTCTTTTAACATTTACCACAATAAAAAAATATTAATATGTACATGGTAAATGTTTTTATTTAATTTCAAAAATTAATCGAGCATATTTTTCATCTTATTGTGATAGATATTAATATTTTTTATTGTAAATATTAATCAGAGCGAAACTCTTTAAAATTAGCATGATTTTCAGGTTAAAGATTAAGAAAAAGTTCTCTCTGTGCGCATAAATATATGTACAACTTTGACATAAAAAAATCTGATTACGCACGAGATCATTTTTAATAAATATTTCCAGAATCAGATCGCTCTATCGTCACGAAAGAAATAAATATTTATCGTACGACGGGAGAAAAATTCTCTCGTATAAAAACGCTCGATGGTTGATAAAAAAAAAAAATTTTTGTCAATAATAATTTCAGATTAGCGAGCGGGGCACTTCGGGCACCCGCTGTTCGGCCGGCCCTGGCTCGGCTCACCGAGCGGCGGCGGAGAAGATTGCCGGAGATTGCCGAGCGCGTCCCGTCACGCGGCAGTTGAGTCCGAATGCAGCCGCGCATGGCAGTGCGTGGTGGAGCGCGGTTCGCAACGGATCGACGACGGTAGAGTAACCGCATCGCGGCCGTAGAACACACACACACACCGACAACAAGAGGGAGGTGAAGAGCGAGAGTAGGACAGAGAGAAACGGACGGAGATAGATAGATAGATAGATAGAGAGAGAGAGAGCGAACGAGATCACACCGATTGTGAGTCTGCCGAGGAACCATATAGCTCCGCAACCGCCTCGAAAATAGAACGACGTATGCGTGTGTGTGTGCGCGCGTGCGTGTGTATGTGTGTGTATCTGTGTATATAACCCCCTCGCTAGACACGAAACGTTGACGACACGCGTGTGAACGAAAAAAAAAAAAAAAGAAAAGAAAGAAAGAAACATGTACACGACGGGAATACGGGATTGCACGGCAGTAGACTGGCGGAAAGTGTAATAGAGGAAGTGGTGGTGCACATCGGTGGCGATAGAAGTCTGCATTAGCGGCGAGGACGGCGACGACGGCGACGACGACGATACAGACGTGGTGGTGTTCCGATAGTGTTAGTAAACGGTGACAGTACGGAGGCGCTCCGATGATCGTGCTTCGGTGTTGGTCCGCGCAGTAGAGAAGAGGATAGAAGAGGAGAGAGAGAAAGAGAGAGAGAGTGAGAAGAGGAGCGCCCCCTCGTGCGGTGGTGTTGGTGCGACACGCACTTGGTTCGGCGGGGCCGCGTCTCGTCGCCGTCGTCGCCGGTCTCGCTCCGTCCTCCTGCCGTCATCGGAGCGGCGCGGTCGTTGTCTCGCTCGGCGGCAGGCAGCGGCGGCTTCCGCTCCCTCCCGTCGTCCTCCCCGAAACGTCATCGTCGTCGCCGTCATCGGTCGCTCTCGCCGGAGGCCACCGCACCGAAGGCGTCGAGCCAGGCAGGCAAGCCGCTACGCAAGATGGCTGTGTGTCGCTGACGAGGGGCCGACAAACCGGACAGGGGTACGGACAGCCCGTGGATAGAAGCGGAACATGCGGCTACGCGATCGTCGGGCCCGTCCCTGAAGAGAGAGACACTGGCCAAGAAGCGAGAGGTAAGTGCCTTTCATTTTTCATTTTTTTCCTCGGGGAATTTTCCTTGGTTTTTGGTGGCTCGATTTTTCCGACCTTTCTTCATATGTTTCCAATATGTTTCCAATATGTTTGTTCGACAATGAGGTTTTATGACAGAACGACGGAGGTGACGTCCTGGTCTCCTCTGCTTACGTTCACGCGAGAGAGAGAGAGAGAGAGAGCCGTACGTGGACTCTACCATCACGCCAGCAGAAATACGCGTCCGAAAATTGTAAACAAGTCAGATATCCCTCCAGGATATCTTCTCCAATGACGCACTCTCCGGGTACTCCGTTTTTTCAAAACTTCGCGATAACAACTTATCGTAATATCTCTCTCTCTCTCTCTGGCCAAAAACTCGCTCATCATTGGGTATATTCCACGATGATGTGAAGTTGTGTACTCGTTTATCGAACTTTTCGCATGTCCGTATACCTGGTGTATCTCTTCTCCTTTCTCTATCCCCGTCACCGTTCCTCGCCCTCGTACACGTTTGCTCTATCTCTCTCCCTATAACGCCTGTACTTTGTCGGTCCGCACTTTCCCCCGTGCCAGGCCGCTCCGATCCTGTCGATTCAATGCTTCTTCTCTACAATACAATCGCGGAATAAGAGCCTCGCTGGAAACATCTGTCGCGCGGCCGACCTAACCTAACCTGCAAAAATTCACCCGGATGGTTGACATTTCCACCCGCGTCGCGATATTTTGCGTCTCATTTCGCGAGATGCTCCGAAAACGTCTCGCATTATTATTACGTATTTTATTGAAACGGAAGCGAAGCTCTCCTTGTCCCTTCACGCTTTCGTAATTTCGCGTATTTCGCAAATCTTTGCGTAAACTTGCGTTGTTCGGGAAGCAAAATTGGAGTAAAAAATTTCTGGCTCGTCGAAATTTTTTTGACGTTTCTTTCGCGAGCGAGCATTTCGTGGTAAAAAGCATATGGCATCGAAACGCTTATGCTCTTTTTTTTTTCCTGGCGAAATGACCAGCTGACTCGATAGGATCTCCCTGCGAACGGATCGATTCGACATAACCTAGAAATTAGTGCGGTGCTCTACGTCGTTCTATGTATTATACGTCGAATGACGAAGGCATTCGCGATGCCGAAATGGACGTAACTAGAAACTTCTGTCTTCGGTAACCACGAATTATTCTCGCTTTTGTCGTCCTACTTCGTTTCGCTTTTCGCTCTATTATTAGTAGAGACAATTTTTTTTCTTGAAGGTAATTTTTTTTTACATAATACTAAACTTCTTTCGAATGGCAATTCATCGAATTTACTAGCGTCTTATTATTTTCCAAGTTTCTTGGAATTGTTTTGTTATCTCTGTGTTTTTTTTACCACGTATACATACAAGTTCTTTAACATTTTTTTTTACATATATATTAATGCTTTATCGATGATAAACATGAATAACCTAGTGGTAAAGCGATGGAGAGTGCCGTTAAGGCTTATTTAGACTCTTACACAAATATGATTAGAGCCAGGTTTGCCTTGGCTCCGCTTTTAAAACGCAAACCGTTATCTGACATTCTGACGTATTCACTTTCATTTTATTCAATTATGAGACTGCGAGATTTTAATCGCGATGTAACTGATCGTCCGTGTTACGTGCCAACGGGACATTAAAAAAACCTCGCAAGTAAAATTACAAGTATTTCGCGCGAATTCTCGTTATCGAAAATTCGTCGCCCTTCCAGGAAAATCTTTTTCAGTGCATCGCAGAGAAAAAAATAATACACTTTATTATCGTTTCGTATCGCGAATCTCGAGCCTGCAACGTCGAAACATCCGTCAGCTTTTGCAGTTGACGTAACGAGCCACGTCGCGGAAACCTTTTTTGGAACGCGATTTCCTCGCATCACGTTATTGCTCGCGATTGTCGGCGACGACGTAGTCGTTGCCTTCGTCGGCTCTGTCCGTCGACGGTTGTTAAATCGAGTTCACGCACACAAATACATGTATATGCATATAGGTATACAGGCGTGCACGAAAGTATCGGATTAGAACGTATGTCTGCGTGTCAATGGCGGAGTTTTAAAGTTTTTTACGGTTTTTTAGTTCTTTTCGCAAAACTGTGCCTTTATCGAAATGTATAGGTACATGATTTTATATTTATATATTTATTCTGTATTTTTAGTCTTTTTGCGCCGTTATGTGTGCACAATGGAATAATTCTACAATCAATATCAATATTTCATATATACATATATACGGATGACCATCCGTCCTTCATTTTGGAGGACAGTCTTTTTAGATTTCAAATAATTGTCCTTTAGATTTATTCATTTTGCTAAAACTCAATTTTGTTCTTTATTTTTAAATTTGGACGAAAACGAATCCTCTCTTATCCGGAACTTATTTAAGAGACCAAGGATTTGTTTCAACATAGCCGAATCAGAGAGTTTTAAATTATACACAGAGAAAATTTTCTCTTAGAATTACCCTGAAAATTATGGTAATCGTGGAGTAATAATGGTATTGGAAGAATTTTATAAGAGTTTCTCTGATTAAATATTTACCACAATAAAAATATTAATATCTACTACAATAAGATATACATGTAAAATGTTTGATGAATTTTACTGTCTACATATTAATATTTTTTATTGTGGTAAATACAATATTATTCAGAGAAACTCTTATAAAATTCTTCCAATACTATATTGTCCTACGATTATTATTTTCCTCTTAATTTTCGGAGTAAATTCTAAGAGAAAATTCTTGTTGTGTAAGAACACGTCGATTTCTGATAGTTATGAATTATTTTTTTCGATGGTCGATTTCTCGTCGATTTTCACTTTAGTAGGAAACTGATTTCAAAACGTGTTGGAAAAAAGTCCTAAAATTTTAGATTTGTCCTTCCTTTTCTTTCAGAAAATATATGGTCGCCATATATATTTATAAGAAATGATCAAAATTAAAATATATCGAATCAATCCAAAGTCAACATGCACTTACGCCTTTACATGTATATGTATATAAATTTAAAATTTTATATACAATATATATATATATATATATATATATGTATAAATATGAAATATTAGATTTGTGTAGGTATACACGGAGAGATTTTTCTTTTAGAATTTATCCTGAAAATCGTGGTAAATTTTACTATGTATACATAGTAAAATTAATCGAAGATATTTTTTATATCTTATTGTGGTAGATGTTAATATTTTTTATTGTGATAAATATTAATCAGAGAGAAACTCATAAAATTCTTCCAATACCATATTGTTCCATAATTATTTGATTTTTTCATTGATTTTCCCATTGATTTTCAAGGTAAATTCTCTCTGTGTGCATACATAAATGCGTGTTGACTTTTAGCTTGATTTTGATACATACACACACATATATATATATATATAGCAAACTCATATACATACATAGCAAACTCAAAATATATCAAAACCAATATTGTTTTACAGCGTATAGGTATATACAAAGAGTGTCCAACAATTAAAACACACGCATATATTTATATATAAATGAACAAAACTATATATAGATATAAATGCGTGTTGATTTTTGAATGGCACACCCTGTATATGCGCTGGGTAGTTTCCATCGGGCACGGGTATCGGTGTGGGCTTCGGCCATGCGGGTATCTCCCTTATACCTGGGCATTAACATGGTGAGCCGAGCCCGCCGGCCCTTCGTTTTCGGCGATAGGCATTGTACTGGACGCAAACTGGGGTTTCAGTCCAGTTTCAGTGGTGTGCGCGTTGGAACGCGTCAGGGAGTGCCCTAGCCGTAATTAGCAATTTTGCGAAGAGGCAGGCAGGCCTGAATTCGGTAAGAGCTTATCGATTCGCTCTCGGTTCGTGGCTACATTTCAACGTAGAATTTTGGCAGCTTGACGGTTCGCGGCGACTGTGTTGTCTCTTTCATGTCATGCGGAAAAATTGCGTTTTCTTTGTACTCGAGAGAGAATGAAAGAGAGAGAGGTTCCTTTCTGTTGCAAAATGTCAATTACAAACTGCAGGAGAAAAACATCGCGAGGAAACTTTTTTATTATCCCTTGTAACATAAATTATTTACTGCCTTCTTCGAGCTAATATACGTATATAAGATTGAGCGAAATATGTCCGTTGTAAAACGTTGTAAATCGTGTAAAACGCGGTAAAAGCGGGCAAACAAATGTACTTATCTTCCACCTTAACGATCGCTGTAATAATTTGTTATGTACTCTCTTATTCGTTCGATCATTGACACGTTTTGCAACGACAAATATATATATATATACACCTCGGAACAAATTTCAAATATAACGAGATAATATAACGATTTCACCATGTTTTACGTGAGATACGACGAGCTTAAGCGTGGAATTGGAGAGTGTGCCACATTTCAGAAATATTAGCGATGCTTGGAATAGCTCTCATCGTCGTGTTCTTAGCGAGCATATTTCGCAAACGGCTCATTCGAATGGCACATTAAACCCCGCTGCTTGGAAAATGCAAATAACAGCACAGTTCCTTATTTTCTCAAAATCTTATAACGTGGATTTCTCTCGCTAAACTGTTTATTCAATATGATGTGAATTTTAATATTCTTGTTAGCATCACTCGAGCGATTGGTAGCTGTCCATTTATTTTGCATACGCGTGTTAATTTCCATAACGAATAGCGTCGCGATAACAACATTGACGTCATGATTCATATATAAAGAGAAAACTCTCTAATCCTTAATCGTAGAGAAAGGCAAGTACATAAAACTACACGGACTTGAAGTTCCAAGCCATTATTGCACGATGATAAACATTTTTATTTTTGCATAACAGGACATATATATTAGGTATCCAACTGTCTTTACTCGGGAATATATTATTTCGAATGATGAACAATAGATATGAGTAGTCAATATATTAACATATTATATCTACACAAACTATTTGAATGTGCATTGACTTATTTATATATATACGATATTACATTCCTCCATATTAAAAACTATATATGAATCAAGGAA